ACTTTGCCGGCAAAATTCAAAATTTTGGTGGCGCCATCTATTATAAAAAGTTTTTAAATAAAATATGATATCTTTAACTATTATAAAATGGCAAAAAGCTCAATTTTGAGGGTCGGGATGGGTTTACATAAAAAAAAAAAAAAAAAAAAAATTGTGAATACTAACAACGAGTAAAATTGTCCTAAGTTCGACTCTACTGGAGATACACACGACCCCCATTATTTCACTACACTCTCGATCTTTATCTGGCCACCGGTGGGTTGAGATTATCCTTCTCTACATATACAATCTAATATGAACCCTTGCTAATAGACAAGAAAACAGATTTCTCATTAATAAATATATATATTTTAAATTGTTTCACTTAATAAATATTATTAATACTATTTCATATTGAACTACATTTCTATCTGTTCTTTACCCCAATTAGTAAAAAAGGTTTGAATTTGTAAAATATGGCAAATCTGATAGGTAGATTGCGACTAATTTTTAATGCAGAAAGAAACAAGTTGGTCACTCCGTGTCTAAAACATTCAACTTAACTTTCACTTCAAAAATTTTCTTGCTCTAAATCACCTAAATGGTATATCTCCCCAGGTGTAGTTAACAAGTGTGACGTGGCAGAATTCCTTTGTTTCTAGTATATTTCGAGTGAACTTCGAATGATAGACGTAGATAGAGAGAAAGAGAGAGAGAGGAAAGAACGTTCTAAAGTAGGAAGAGAAGAGAAAATGGGTTAGGGGGAGTTGGGTATAACTTTATGGAACAAAGGGGGCGGTGGATCGAAAAAGTTTGAGAATCACTGATCTAGACCAATGGTTTTTAACTGGTGTTCTGCTAAATTATGAAGGCGCATACTACTATTATTGGACAAACTTTAGCATACATTTGCAGTTTACAACACAGACAAGACGCAACTTGCATTTTGCAGGGAACTTCTCTTGTTACCCTTGCAAAAAGAAGAATCACAAATATAATATATCTAAGCAAAGCAATATTTTTGCACAGAGAATCTCTAGTTAACAACTGGTTAAAACTAGATAATAAACACTGGAAAAACCTAACAAACCAGCGACAAAATTATAAACTAAGCGAACGTTTTCGCCCGTGTTAAACGGGCATCTTCAGGCAACAAACTACTGAGAAAAACACTGGGGATTGCCGAACACGTGTATAGGGGGAAGGGGGTGTATGACGTAAGAAGAGAGGAGTTGAGGGCGTTCATATTTCGTAGAAAGACTTCCAAGGCAGTAGATGAGTCAACGTCGCGATAGTTTATTGCTGAGTTATGGCGGATGGTCTTGTAAATTTCCTCTTGTTCAAGATGATTATGGACATATGGTTTGGATTCGTTATGTAAGAGGTGCGTATCGTGGAAATCTACCTGGATGCATAGGCAGCCATGTTGGTTAAACCTTTTTTGATGTTCTTTTAAACGGATATGTAACGGGCGAGACGTAGCATCTATGTATTGTAAATGGGGTTCTAACGATGGTCAATGATGGGGATACTGTAGATGCCTGGCAAGTGGTACTTGTTGAGACAGTTTGTGATGTTGTGGAGGAGAGACGCCATAGCTAGACTTCTGCGGAATGACAAACGACAGTTGTTTCCCCATTTAATTTCTTTGTAAAGTGTGGCAAGGGACTTGTTGTAGGTGATGGTCTTGAACTTAGTTTCTTCTGGAAAGAGTTTATTTAGCTGGATGGAAGCGGTGTCGGAAAGATTGCGGATTAATCCCCTAATAGTGTGCGGGGAATAGTCATGCTGTGTGGCGTATTAGGTGAAAGTACGAAGCTCTTTCTCTCTCTCCTGTTTGCTGGATGAATAGGAAAATGATCTTCGTATTAAAGCTATGAAAGCTGCCATTTTGAAAGTGAAAGGATCGTGGGATAAAGGTAGGGAGGTGGATGGGTTTCCTGTAGACCTGAGTAGACAGGCGTCCCAGTTTGTTGGTGATCCGGAGGTCCAGGAAATGAACTGAGGGGGGCGTTGCCCTGTTCAAGAGGGAGTTTTAGGCCGAAAAGGTCGGGGTCGTAGTTGATCGTCTGTAAGAAATCCAGAATGACGGATTTATCCCGACAAATTATAAAAATATCGTCAATAAATCTGGTATACAGGTGAATTTGCTGGTGAAAGCGGGAAGGACGGTGGTTTCGAGTTGACGTACTACTAATTTACCAGATAAAGGACCATGTTAAGGACGCGGAGAAACACCACAAACACATATAAGGAATTAACCGACCTTCTCTGCCATCCATCTAGTGTAGGAAAGTTTCTTCGAAAAAGAAACTTTCTACAAAGTAAAGAGGTCCCCCTATGCGACACATGAATTTAATTAGATTCCTGCAAAACACCACAATTTTTAAATTAAATATACCAACAATAAATTGCTGAACTTTGCCGGCAAAATTCAAAATTTTGGTGGCGCCATCTATTATAAAAAGTTTTTAAATAAAATATGATATCTTTAACTATTATAAAATGGCAAAAAGCTCAATTTTGAGGGTCGGGATGGNATTCTATTAAAACGATGCTTTTTTTTTTTTTTGAAAGAGCCACGCGTAAGCCATCAGATGCATTTAAGCAATTTCTGGCTTTTGTTTTGATGTACAGTACAAAAGTGTTGTATTCAAGGTATGCGAACACGTCTCAACTAGTTTCTGTACTGCACGTGACAATGAGACTACATTAACTCAGTGGTTCTCAAAGCGGGTGCCGCGGCACCTTAGGGTGCCTCAAGAACGCCACAAGGGTGCCGCGAAATACTAACCTATAACCAAAGTCTCCTTTTAATTTGTTTTTAAAAAAAAGCGTTTGACAAACTTGCCCCGCATGCCGAAGTTGCCCCGGTCTCCCCTATTACCAATTTGTCTATTAAGTTAGAAGTATTAATATTTTGTATACACAATTTGCTTGTTATATTTGACTATTTTATTTTATTTTTAGTATTAGCAGCATTTGTACTAATTTTATTATTTAAAAACGTTATTTTGCTGTTAATAGCCTATTGGTTATCGGTTAATATTTGTATTTTTGTATTTTGAACTTATTGTTCTATTTTTTGAAATGTTCTAATTAACCTGACGATGATCCATTGATTGGATTGAAAACGTTTGTTTAAAGAATAAATCTCTCAGCGAGTGATCAGGTGTTTTAATTAATTTACATCTCTACCTTCAAATTCAAACTTTTTGCCATTTTATAATAACTAAAAATACAAAAAAATTTTTTTTTATAACAGAGGCCCCGCACAAAATTTAATATAATTTATTACGATTAATTAAAGCTATTTTTTAAATAAAATTTCACCAAAGCCAGGGAAGTTACATAAGTCATTTGTGAATTTTTAAAATAAATTATATTTTACTTATTAAGAAATAAATTGTCGCAAAATAATTTATTGAAATTAATATTGTGGGAAAGATTGGCAGTCGAACAAATACAGAATTGGCGCCATCGAACCCATGTGAATTTGGCTCAGCACTATTTTCGAATTTGGTGACAGAATTCCATAGAAATTATGTGGGAAATATCAACCGAAAGGACTCAGGGGAGTTATTTGAAGACAGAAAAGTGTCTTCAGACAGAAAAAGGTATGGACACGCAGTGCTGGCCCGAGGCAAGTTTTAGGATGGAGCGAGATCCTATTATGGCTCCCCCCCTTGGTTGCCTCTAATTTATACCCTTTAATTTTCTTTACCACTGAGGCGCCCCCTTGGACTTTGCGCCTACTGCGGACGCTCCGTTCGCCCTATGGTAGGGCCGGCTCTGGACACTCTTCGAGAGTAAATTTTGAAGAAATGTCTGAAGAGGGATGATGAATTTAATATTCTTCTAGTTGGAAAATTAGCCTTAGGCTAGTGTACTCTGCTTAACTCTCTTTTTAAAGTTTGTATCTTGAAAAAACGATTTAATTATTACCTGATTCAGAAGTATTAAACGAAATAGACGTCAACAGACACGCATACACGAGAATTGCAAAGAAGTGAGGTTTACGAAAAAGAACAGAAATTAAATGCATTAGCCATCTGGAGAAGAAGAGAGTTCGGTTTGATTCAAACGTTTCTCGGTTTAATCTTACAGTTACAGACACATCCGGCCATCAAATTAACAACGAAAACTGTTGGCTCCCTATTCTAAAATATAATAAATATACACGAGCAATATGAAAAGTATTTGGAAGAAGAATGTGTAGCTCGTAAGAAGACCGTAACGGATACAAGAGCTCACTGCTGCGTCTACTTCGTTTCTCCTGGTCACTGGCTGACTCCTCTGGATATTAAATGCATGAAGAGATGGAAAAAATCATCATCTTTTTTCCCGTCATAACAAAGAGTGACACTATAACGCCGGATGAGAAAATAGCCTTCGAGAATGTTATTAGAAAATGCTTAGAAGAGAACGGAATAGTCGTTTACCCCGTGAAAGACATCGAAGAAACTCGAGAAGATAAGATGATCAACGATCAAATAAGGTCCAAAATACTCTGCTGTAGTAGGCAATGAGAAGCAGCGAGAGATCGATGGAAATAAACTGTACCGACGGATGAAACGTTGAGGTTTCGTAGACATAGAAAATAAAGATCATCCCGAATTATCTGACTTCAGAGATATGCTAATAAAGACTCATATGATTGTTTGTTTGTTAAATTATGACAACGCAACACTTGGGCGATCTGCCTATTTTTTAAGGGCAACTGGATTCAGGCGTTACAGACGTGGAAAAAACCCGGAAAACTCCACGTGGCCAGCCTATCTCTGGTCAGGCGCGAATCCACAATCGAACTCCGGGGAACGAAACCGTCCTCGTATGATTGATATGATCGAAGTGTTTCAAAATTTAAAATTTCTTTTTTCAACATTTTATTTTTTCTGTTATTATCGAAATGTTCTTGAGACTGTGAAATATCTCGAGAAACGTTTGAAACAAGCCCTCAGTATTTTGAAGGGGTCAGTTCATCCTAGCAAAATTTAGACCCCGTCCGCCCTTGGGGTGTAGCGGGGGGAGGGCAAATTTGTAAATTCAAATGGAAACCCTCATTTTTCAGAGCAGATTCGATTCTACGTCAGAAATTATGTAGGGTTTTATCTAAAACGGATTCTTAACCAGGAGTCAGTAAGCTTGGAATGGTAAAAATAAATCTTAATATATTTAAAATGTATTGTTAATTATGGTGTTAAGAAAGAAGCACTATATCATACTATATTATATGTTTTTTTTTTAAATTTTAATAACTGTATTTCCATATGACTGGTATATTTTGTAATTTTATTTTATGCATTTAAAGACATTATTCCGAGAAGAAGAACCGCGATCTTCACCTGACTGGAAAAGGGGTGCATGGAACAAACAAGTTTAAGAACCTTTGTTCTAGACGTATTAGGACATTCTAGAACATTTGTCTGAACTTTATATATATATGGAATGCTTAATTTTTCTTCTGATCCTCTCAGATCAGAAGAAAAATTGATGACTCTATTGAGTTTAATGACAATATTGAGTGACTCTAGTGACAAGGGCAATACTGATATAAATGATACGGAATGAAGAGTTTTGAAACAGCTGCTTACACACTGCTTACAACTTATATTTTAAGAGAAATATTAGAATTCATAAATTCTTCTCCTTTACAGAAAATTTAAGAATGCCAGAAGATTCAAGAATACCAGAAGATTCAAGAATACCAGAAGATTCAAACGGAGAATCACCGTTAAGAAAGAAATTTCTAATTAGGGGGAATACAATATTGCCAGATATAATGCGTAACATATTTAAATATCTGACAGATACAGAATTATTTGACTGCCGTCGAGTGTGTACCACGTGGAAAGCTATCGTTGAAGACATCATGTATCAGAAAGTAACAATAGTTATTAGGGTAATAATAAAATTTTTTTTTCTTTCTTGCACACCATATCACTTAATTTTCAACTATTTTAATTATTTAAAATTATAAAATTCTTTTCAATTATGTTATTTTATTTTAACAGAAAATTCCGGTTTCCTTAATAGAATCGACATTGTTTTATCCTCAGAATATGCAACGTTATTTGCAATTAACAGAACGTTTTCAATGTATTTGGTTTGTTTTGGAAAACCATCCGACCCCTAAATGTTCACGTTGTCCCTATTGTTTAAAAGAACCAATTGAAGGTCGTATAGTGTGGGATCTCACCAGACAGAGTAAGTATATTCAAATTCCAAAATGATGAAAATATGAATTTAATCATAAAAATATTTCATTTGGTTCAGGTATAATTCTGTTAGAAGAAGATGAAATTGAAATACAATTAGTAATCTTTCCAAAGATTCCCGGTTTCGATGTTTTTCACTTTCCGTATAGAAAAAATGAATTATTATCCAAACAGAATTTAAATCATTATACGAAGAAATTCACCGAAATGACGACATTTGAATGGCATTGTGTCATCTGTTACAGGGAACTTGGAAGCCATTTCTTTAATAAGAGCGATCACTTTAACGATATTTACACAATTAGAAGAGAAGCGTATTATATCGTTGGATTTCAAGGGGAGAGAGTAAATTCTTTTTCTGTTTATATCGAAAAGAAAAAATGTGGTTACAAAACCCTCATGAAAAGATTCGAGCGACTTAAATGCTTGAAACCCACAATTGTTCAGGAGAGATGTTTGATGTATATCAATCACAGAGCCTGCTTGACTATGATGTCTGTAATAAGTGTAGCTTTAAAACATTCTTTTCCTCTTGTCAGTTGTATCGAGCATAAATACTATCCTTTTCATTACACAATCATTCCCAGTGAAAATTACCATTTTGATTGCAAAACGAAGGAATGGTGGGATAAAGATTTCCTTGCAGAAATTGTTTTTGTTTGGTGGAGTTAAAAAAACATCGTAATAAAACGAATTAACAATACCGATCTGTGATTAATTTTAGTCAAGTGTTAATAAATTTGTTTATTGAATATTTCTTTAATTTTAATAAAATTATTAAAGTATTTACTTGGGGATAAAAATCGATAAGTATTTACTACTTGAAGCAATTTATCAGAGCTAATTGGATTATTGTAACACGAAGGAAGGAAGAATATTATAACAACGCCTATAAGATATGAGATAACTGCAATTGTAATTCAAAATGACATTATAAAAAATTAAATTTATATTGCATGAAACTTCATTTAAATGTCATGAAATAATTAAAGCATTTCCTGTTGGTTACGATAAAAAGAAAGCATGTACTGTACATACTGTACATGCTGTGGACCCTTTTTGGATTATAAGCATGAGGAAAGCATGTACAGTATGTACATGCTTTCCTCATGCTTATAATCCAAAAAGGGTGAACAGCAGGCAAAAGGAGATTACAATATTACAAACTATTTAATCAGCAACTTTCTTGTCCATACACACTTCCTTTGCTTCATTCAGATCCACCTTTCCCATATCTTCTCTTTAACAGTTCTTTCATTCATGATCGAACTATCATAGGGTCATTTTCCCACCTTTTCAACCACATTCTTTTCCTTGTTAAGCCACACACTCTACTCAAAATACCTCATCTCACATACAATAATGCGACTCAAGTTTCGTTACTATACATGAGCACAGGCACGACACTCCTATATACAGCTATTCGAACCTCTTTGAACAGATAAAAATGAAACTGATTACAAATAAACTACAATGACTTGGTCATATTTAAATTAGTAATTATTAATTCTTTAATTTTTTCCTAATTAATTTACAAGAATAAAATTTTAACGACATTATTCAATAAAGTTACTTGAATATTTCTTCCCTTTTACATAACTAAAGAGTTGCATAACTTTTCCGGCAAAACCATTTAAAATTGCGTGTAGAGCCATCTGTTATGATATTTTATTTTAAAAAACTTCATCAGCAGCCCTTTCTACATTATGTAAATAAGCTCTATCTTTGAAGTTAATGAAGAATAATTGAATTTTAAAGCATGCTTTATTACTAACGAAATAAGAACACTTCATTTAAGATTAGATTTTCTTATCATAAGATTAAATGAAGAGTAAAAACTAACAGGCTAAATATTTCACGAAATAAGAGTTTGGCAAAGCATTATTAGTTATGTAGATACTGTACTCGCAGCAGTTCTGAGACAGTAATAAATAAGTAGCCTATACGATCTAAATTGAATTAAATAAAGAAACAGTTTTTGGAAAATACACTTTAATTGTGTGAGAATCCAGGGGGTAGAGCGTCAGGCTTCTCCCCGCTTACCGGCGGCTCGGTCAGGTATGGCTTTATAGGAGGGCAAAAATATGAGTGGTGAGGGGTAATGAGATCGTGACAAGGTACCGATTGAACTCAAAGATAATTCAGAATTATATATACAATATAATAATATAATATTTAATGAATTAACTTATGAAAACAAATACAAATCAAAAAGGTTACAATTATTCGTTTAATACGATTCTACCTAACTACCTAAGATCTAAATCTAGCGACATAATATTGTCGAATCTCACACTATGACCATGAGAGTAACGAGGAATGAAAAAGAGAGTATCGAAATTGGGTTAAGTGATTAACTCACGATGTATGGGAGGTTGGTAAAACGCTCTTGGATCGGCGGTTCCTAATCGTGGTTTCCCCTGGATGGCGGTATGGGTCTGGTGTCTCTTAATGTTCGCTCGGCTATGTCCGATATGGGTGTACGCCGGCTGTCCGCCCGGAGGTACAAGTGCAACCCCTTTTTATAGACGGCTCAACGTGGGAATTATCGGGAAACATCTGAGGCAATCGCCTTTACGGCTAATGTTTACGTTAATCGAACGGTTCCTTTGATTTCGTACGTGAGAAAGCTGTCATCTTCTTAATGTCTTCTAGCAGCTAGAGTCAAAACATCGGCAAAATCACTGTCGCTGCACCGACCAAACAGCCGACAATAAAACAATCATCACTTTGGTGATAACCGGCCATTGTCGGTACTTTGATATGGTTTCTCATCGTACGGTCTACCCTTATATTTGACCCTTCTTTGCTCCCCTCTATCACGTAACCGGTGTTTGTTCTTGCTAATTGGCTACTTATTTGTATGTTGTATCGAAAGTGGAACTGAATAAGCACCTGCTGTGAGGAGATATTATCGCTTCCAAGACGTTTCTAAGGTCACCTTTCCAAGTGACGCAGTACACTGACGGGTCAAAGGTCTAGCCCAGTGTTTCTCAACGGGGGCGACATCGCCCCCATGTGGGCGTTTTTTCATGTTGAGGGGGCGATTAGTAACAATTTATAATTGGAGGCGAAAAACAATTTTCTGGGCGATATAGTAAAATATTATATTAAGAATAATTAGATATTTTATTCGTTATATCCTACAATAATTAAACTAATAACATTATACTAGTCACTATTCTATTCGATGCAGTACGAATTTGGCGTTAGTCTCGGACCTCGGCATTGCAATTTTGTAGTGAAGGGGCGATACTACGTAACGGTTTTATTGAAGGGGACGACGATTCGTTAGAGGTCGAGAAACACTGGTCTAGCCTTTACTTCAATGAGGGGGAAAAAAGAGAAATAATGATAAAAATAAAAATTACCGACGTGTGAAAATTTACACGGGAGTCCGAATTCTCACAATTGTATTTAATTACATATAAAAAGTATTTTATAATTGACAGAGTGTTTATTTTCACGTACGGTCAGGAAATTTTATCATTTAAATCGAGGTTTTACTGTATTATAGATATAATTTCTCAATTACCATTAAGTACATTTACTGTTATCAGTATTACAATACAAAAGACTAACAGTAACTTTGCACAACACTAGCTTTTTTTTCAAATTGTGGACCGGGGACTCCCAGGGGTCATCAAGTATAATGGGGAGTTCCTTGAGCTCTCAAACAAGAAAAAACTATCATATTATACCATAGAATAAAATAAAATACTCGTAATATTTACCTGTGTTAAAAACACCTACGAAAGTTCTAATTAATCAAAATAAAATTATTTAAATTAACATTTTTTAAACATAAAAGCATTTTTTCAGAAACATCCTTCACAAGTCATTCTTTTGGGGAGTTAAGAAATAGATTCGTCTAGTTTCGGAGTCAAATGCCTTGAAAATATAAACTCATTATTGTAGTAAGAATACCTGAGATACTTACGTAAAGAATGTTCAGTCGAGTCTTTCAAACAATTGGGATACAGTAATGTGACCATTTAGAAAGAGTAGAAGTTTTTATAACATGCCAAATGCATTCAAATTTATCTGTTAACACCATATAACGTTGCACATCCCGAAAGATTGAAAAATGTCGATTTTAGTAAGGAAATTCGAACTTCTGTTTGAAATAACATAGCGTAATTAGATAATATATAAGATTACTTATACGCACGTGTCCAAAACTTAAGGATTAACACATATGCTAGCGATGACAGCTAGAAAAAGTCACTTGGTAACGAGCCTGCCAAGTGACTTGTTAATTTTTTTTTTTATACATGATGTTATCAATGATATTTTTCCATTCGACAAACACTCGACGACAGTCAATCTCCCAGATATTTAAATATTTCATACATGATTTCCGGCAATTTTGTGATTGGCGACGAGATCTATTGTCGCTGATTGTGTTTTTGAATTATCTGACATTTTGAAATTTCCTATAAAGAAGAAGAAAAGTTTATTAATTTTAATATTTACGACTTAAAATGTAGATAATTAGTGTAAAAAAATTGAATTCTATCAACATTATATGACATTTTATATTGCTCTCAGATATGTTCATTAATGGAAAAGCATTTAGCGAGAAGGTAATTTAAACACTAGGTAATAAACACTATTTCTAGTATTCAATGTTTGCTTTATTCTTACTTTGTTAATAACAGCAAATTCGTTTCACTCTGTTCTTTCCATTCAATAGAATTCACAGTAGCTTCTATTACTGGTTCAGGGCGCCTCTTTTCATTGTGGTCTGTCTATGTTTACTAATTCTTTCACATCACATGTCACACGTCACGTCTCATGTAGGGAAATATCCCCTGCGGGGAAGAAAACTTTTAAAACAAAACTGTAAGTTGAACACGTGTTCGAGTATGCTAAGACAACCGAAAATTGTGATTCGTCATGGGTTCGGTCTCAGCAACGGGCTGGGCACGTGGCTTTTGCTCTGTTTTATTCACGTGTATAACACAGGGCATATATTAATTAAAGGGGTATACGTCCCACCAGATGGTCCCCCTTTAGAAGAAAACTGCATTCCGTTTAATCGAGTAAAGTTTAAATCTTTTACGAACATACTACTCGTAGTTCACGAATAATTAAGGGTTCTCTAATATTAATAAGGATGTTATCTTCACAAATATTTACTGGCGCTATACGAAGGCAACAGTATTTAGGAATGCGAGTATATGCAAGACCCGATCGCCAAGATGGTCAAGGCCTCTTCCTAGTGCTCTGGGGTTTCCGGGAATACAAATAGGCAACTCACATAAATTTTTCAAGATGTGTAGCATCAAGGGTTGATGCTACACATATAACGCTTCCAATTCTATTCGGGACCGGTTCCGGGCTGTTAGCCACCCGCCTGCTAGATATTTGGCCGATTACGTGAATAACGAATAGATTTATAACTTAACCCAAACGATAAGAATTTACCTGTATGTTTTTACGATAGTTCTGTATAGTTGACAAGAGTTAAAAAAATCCATTAAAATATTTGATATATTTATTCCGCTCTCCGATTTGTATTACTCACGGATTTCAATGTTAAACCAGTGATATTACAATTTCGTATATCCCATCTTTAAGGGGATGTAGAAAGAAAACGTGTACAATTCTTGTATAATGTTAAAAAATTAAATGTTACTTTGGTAGCATCATTTACAACTAAATTTAATGAATGAGAGAGATGCACCAGGTACAGAAAAAGCTCTAGAATTTATTTTCCTTAAATTTACGATTTATGTATCTGTTTGTCATAAAAATTTGTCTTTCCACTTTTTCCCAAGACTACAAATATCCGAGTACAAAGTAACCGGTTTCGACTTATTTCTACTTAAGAAGTAGTTAAATAATTAAGCGATTAGGGAATTGGGGACATAAA